TAGTAGTATGGCCAGGAGCCCCTAGTAGCGTCCTTGCTGCTATAGCGATGCCCTTTGCTCCTAGTAGCCTCTTGTTCCTACAAATGGCCCTTTCAGGATTCATGACATTCAGAGGTGTGTGGTTCACACAAATTGATACAACTTTGAACCCGACTGGTGAAGGAGAATCGGAGTCAGTTGAGTCTTTGTCCATTGGATGGCTCTGGTAAGCGAAATGTGCAAAAAAGAAGCAAATCGATCTTCCTGCAGCAACTGAGGAAGTGCATCTCCGAAGCTCTTTGCGTTTGGCAGCATGCCACAAAACTAACAAAGAAGACAACATTCAAAACTGGCTTTCAGTGGTCTGAACCGTTCTTTTGGATGATGCTATGGATCCTACAGGCCTGGAGCATGGACTCCTTCGAAGGTGACCCACAAAGCTATCAACGCTTTTAACGACCCATGAAGCGAATGCCTGCGGTTTCAAAGCGTGGGACGTCCAGGTGGAGTCTGGGCATCCCAGACTGAAGGCTTTGGCATCTTGGTGCCGACCTCGGTGAATTTAGGGGAATGTCAAAGCGCAGCAACATCTGTGGGCTCGACCCGAGTTTTTCCAGGAATCAAAGACTGACAAGAGGGAAGTTGCATTTTTTATAATTTAAGAACATATGCTCTTGGCTCTTGCCCGACATAACATGAGGAGATCTGTAATGCATCATACGTCAGAAACCTTCTTGCCATATCATTGGCCTTTAGAGCCAGTGATGTCCTCCAGCATTTGTCGAGGCTTCTGCGAAGTGCAGTGCCCAAAGGGGTGGCATTGCATTCCTTGTTGGTGGCCACAAACTTCCTCATCTTTTTGAGGCGGGAGAATTTCAACAAGCTTCCAGCCAGTGTGTCGAACGCCTCCGGGTAAGGGTACATACTTGTATGGGTGTGCGGGTCAAAACCTGAACCTCCAAAACCCTTTTGATGTATTTGCGCATGGAACGCTCTCAGCGAGTGATAGGCATCTTGCAAAGTTGCCCCCGTGAGTGCCTAGATCCCTCAATTCATGCTTGTGCGTGCAAACTGCTTGTGCGTGAAGTACATCAAGTCAGTTGGCACTGTACATGTGTGTGGTTATGTGGGTACTGTTGGATCTAAATTAGTAAAGGCCCCCCCCAGCAACCAATCCAGGGGGTCTGAAGAGTATCACCGCCACCAAAAGAAGTAACATCAGGGTTTCAGTGACGCCGGCAGAGCAAACTCAAGAAAGGGTATGAAAAGCTCAGCTACCAAGGTTCTTGCATGACCTCAGAAGAGTTCATGAATGAAGCAAACCTCAGAAGAGTTAAGTAAGGGTTTGAAAGGGCAGCAATAGCAGAACAATAATAAAGTTAGCTTTTTCCCTTAGGCCTCCAAGTTTGCTGATTAATCCAACCCCTAAACAATTCATACTATTCCATTACTCTGGGCTTGTGTACTACCCTGGGCTTTTCTAATTGCTAGCAACCCTGACAAACCTCAGCAGTGGCCGCTGTCTTGTTTTTTTTGGGTTTGTTGTGGTGGTGGTGGTCTAATTAAATCAATATAGAAAATTAGAGAAAACAATCAAAAAAAACAAAAAACCACACTGGGTGAATAATTTTTTTATTTTTATTTTTTCCGACACATTAAACTAATCAGTATCAGGGTGTGTGAATAATTTGGCTCGTGCTTCTTAGACACTACCGAACCTACTCTCAGAGCACGGGTCGTGTAGATAACACGGACGGGATGTAAGATTGACAACTCCAAAAGCCTGGTTGGTGGACCTCGCCCGGTAGTCTAGTCCATTTTGTTTGAGGGGTCAACCCTTCTGTCACGTTTTGACCTGCAGCCAATATGATGTTGATACCCCTTAAACGTTGCGGAACAGACGATCACCTGACTGTAGAAAGGTCACCGGCCTCAATACCCCTTCATTGGACTCGTTCAACTCGGGGTCCAGTGGCGAAGGTTCGGAAACACCACAGGGGTCTGATGCATTTCTTTCAGCTAGCATTGGATGCGGACACCCGGTAAAGCCACCGCACTACTCCCACTGTCAAACTCCGCGGGTCAAAGCCCAGGTTCGGGACCTTCAGCGAGCTACGAGACCGCATCTTGAAGATCCGCCTGGTGCCGGGGGGGGTGCTGAGGTTGGGGTTCTTCCGTTGGATTCCCTTAGAGCTTCATATGGAACAGTGGGGGGATTGGCGGGTTTGTTGAGATTCCTTCCGTGGATTCTCAAGCAGATTTGGATTCCTTTATAAGCGCACCTTGTTTTGAAAAAGGCTTGAGAGAGTCAGTTTCACGGGGTTGGGATTGGCTAGTGCACTGAGTGCCGAGTCTTTCGACCGCTGTGGTCTTTTGGCGGGGAGTCCATCTCGGGCATTCGCACCTGGCGAATGCGGCGAATGAACATGTCGCCAGGAATCGGTGCAAGCCTGGAGGGGGGAACGGCCAGGTACATATACTCTTACTATACTCTTACTTCGGGCACCTTTTTGGGCACCTTCTCTTTGGGGAGGGCAGTTCGAAAAGAGCAAGGCCGGTCTGTGAAACCACCGTTTTGGGGCACTTGCCTACTGCCTTGATCTTCCGAGAAGGCTTGTGGACCGAGTTCGAGTCGACAGGTACACATTGATCCGACGGCGAGAAGACAGGCCGGGTGGTGTATGACTTGGTATGGGTTGTCATCCATATTCATCAAAGCTGAGGGAAAAGCAGTGCGTCCTTCAGTGACCCTGCTATTACATCTTGCAGCTAAAGACAAGGTTTCGGATTTCAGCTATAATTTATAGTAATATATATATATAGTATCCATCACCTTCCAACAACTCTCTGCGATCTACATTGAGCACCCCTTTGAAGGTCCAGGTAGTAAACATTACATCAAGACTACTGTGACAATTCATTGCCAGCTGGCTGAAACCTCAGAAATATTCGCCGACAGGTTGCCTTCGAGTACATGAATCGTGTGATGATTTGGTCTTGACCTGAGTTGAGTTGGGGAGCTCTTAGAGTGTTTGCGTCCAAAAAAATGGCCAACCTGAGCTGGCAAGGTGTTTCTGTAGAAAGATCTTCAAACATTTCTCAAAGTAAAACCCAAGGGATGGGGGATGCTTTCTCGATCCATTCTCAGACGACGTCCACGTTGTCTCCCAACAGAACGCCCAAAGTGAAAGTGGCAAGGCTCTAGGATACTCTTCAATTCACAAAGAATCCAAAGAAGAATGCATAAGCATGCCTAGACCTTGAATGGTGCAGCAGAGTGAAGATAAATCCACTGCGAATAAGTAGATGTCTTCACATCTGAAACGATCTCTTTCGGGAGTGCAAAATAGAGAATACAACGGGTCATATTCGGTGATTCGCCGAGAACGACAGACAGGGGTCCAGTGTCCCAAGCTCCGGCTTGGATTTGGAGCGACATATTGCACAGGCATGCGCAGAGCTAGTGATTCACGAACGCGTCACTACGCCAGGGTGTCCAATTCGAAGTCATGGAGAAAACCGGTCGCACTGATTCCGGACACCTGTGGTTCCACGAGTCCCGAGCGATGCGGATGGGTTTTTTTCGACAAGCGAAATGGTCAGCTGCTCTGGGTCACTGGGAAACCGGGAAACCTCTCATTGACTGAAACAGAACTGGGACTACCAGGGATGGGCCGGGGTTGAACGGTTTTGATCCTCAACTGAGGTGTTGGACAGTACACGGGAGTTGGGGTTCTGAGTGCTTCCTAAAAACCCTCGCTTCTTGTTACTAGTAGTAATGCCCTTGTTACTAATAGCTTCTTGTTACTACTAGTAAGGCACTTGTTACTAGAAGCGATGCACTTGTTCCTAGTAATGCCAAGATACCCTCTTCAAACACAGGGGTGGGGGAGTGTTCGGACCATGCTTGGACCATGCGTTCGTGCTGCTCCGAACGCCCAGTCAGGAACGGCCTCTCGGAGTTCCTCCTCAAGGTGTGGGCCGTCCGATTTGGTTCCCGCTCCGGATCGAGTGGTGTGAAAGGCGGAGGGTTGAGTGGAGGCTGAAGGATCCTGCTTGAACGAGAATGAGAGGATGGAAACATGACTTCTCAAATTTGGTTGTCTCGCTGCACAATACCATTTTCAGCTCAGACAGAGACTTAAAGGCAGACATTGCACGCTTTGAACGTGTTTCGCGCTAACCATGGCACGCTGCCTTGCCCTTACCCTCCTTGCCGCATTCGCGCTGTGCTCCGCATTCATGGCAGCACCTACTCCTCGTACTGTTCCAAGAGTAGCTTTGCAAGCTTCCCAAGAGTTTCAAGAAACTGAGCAGCACAACATTCCTGTTGCTGTGTTCGCTGCGTTGGCGTGTCTTATGGTTAGCTTGGCTGTGCCACAATCCAGCTGGGCCGGCACTGGTGGTGGCCGTCCTGACTTTCAAGTGGTTCGACCAGGCTACATGCAGGGCATTGA